TGGTCTTGTGGGGTCTTGTGATAGTCTTGTGTCTGTTTTTATCTTTCAGGGTTTTCATTGTTTCAGTTGTTACATCTGTTATCATCGTTTTGTCATGATTTTTTTTCTTTTGTTTTCCCTTTTATAATGGGCAGGTTATTGCGACTTTGAGAGAAACATGTGCGGCTGGACCAACGAACTGCAGAAGGACGACTTTGACTGGGTTCGAACCAGGGGCCAGGATGCCACGCATTGGCTGTCACCCCCACAGGACCACACCACGCTGACTGACAAAGGTACCTGCTGCATTTCTGCTGTCCATCTAACCACCTCTCAAGACCAACCTCAATGTTGAAGTGTTAACCATTTGCAGCACCTTCCATCACATGTCCTCAGAGTTGTTTGCACATTTAAACACCTCTCCATATGCAGCTTACAGCAAGCCAGTCCCATTTTTAAAATGCAGCATCATTAGAGAAAAACACCTCACGTCAGGCTGGCTCTAGTAGGCTCAGTGCATGTGAGATTGCGTACAGCCATACTGACATTAGCCGACCTGGCACAGGCGTATTGATGTACTCGAATGACCTCTGACATGCTTTATTTTGAGCATTGTCCAAGTCTCAATGTGACCACAAGCTCTTTAACAAAAGGTAACAACGTACTCGTCTGCATAACTGAGCATTTTATTACCAACAAGAATTGCAAGCAATTTTGGCTCTTTCTGCTGCACGAAACACTTTTTACAGATCACGTCCTTTATATTAAAATTTTCTCATCTGCGCAACATTTACAGGTTTCTACATGCTGATAGAAGGCACGCTGTTCCCGAGCGGGAAGAAGGCGTGGCTTGTCAGCGAGCACCTGCCGCAGGCCGACCCAGCCTGCCTGACATTCTGGCTGTACATGCATGGCACCGGTGAGTACTCAGGAATTCCCGTTAACTCAAACAGCGACCAGAGCCTAGTCTCCTGCTTTTTACTTCTCCTCTAATCTTTCTTCCAAAGAACTGGTGGATCGGAATTCACCCCTGTACTTTTTTATTTGTTTTTGTCACAGTGGAACTTTTTGGGGGGTTTGCATGTCAAGCCTTCAGGATTCTTTTTATTAGTGACAATCGTTTTGACACTCATTTTTACCCAAATCAAAATGTGCATGTTCTCGCAGAATGTCCAATTTTCCAAGACAGGTCACCCCAAAATGTGACCTCTCCCGCTGTTATGTGCTCATTACTCACTGGCCAACATGTGACAGGGCATAAACTGTTAAAATTTATGACGGATGGAATATAAAACTTTGACTGTATTCACAATGGATGTTACATACGCTCCAAGGTTGAGAATGATGGGATACGGGACCGTAAAGATTATTTTTTTTGGAGGGGGGCAGGCTTTCTCCTACCCTTGCAGCAATGAAATAGCCCCAAAAAGCCTGGTTCTTTCAGAGGTAAGCGTTGTAATTTTCATGTCGTTCTAGTTAGTATTAGCGGTTTGCAGCACTTTTTCTGTTTTGAGTGTCTTTTTATCTTTCTTGGGGGTGGTGGTGAGAATTCAGCTTTTCAGCCAATTTCAGCTTTTTTATTTAGACTTTTACTCTGAATTTCAGCTCTTTTGGTAGAATGTACTGCTCTGGGAACTCTTCAAATCTCAGATGTTGTCAGCTTTATTTTGTGTGTGGCCGCTCACACCCCTTTTTCTTTTACTTGTTGGACACGCTAGGCGCTGGCACCATCAATATTTACATGATGAACCCAGCCTCTGGCACCATGCAGAAGAAGTTCAGCTCGACTGGCGACCGGGGCAGCTTCTGGCACGAGGTGCAGGTGGATGTGGCCAGCGGCATCGAGCATCAGGTCGTGATGGAGGTCATCGAGGGCACCAACAATAATGCCACAGTCGCCATTGATGACGTGGCCTTCGACCAGGTGCAGTGCAAAGGTAAACTTACGCACAGTTCCAAGATTTTTCTACCTGGCTTACTGAACCCAAGGAGCGTAAGATATTGTTTTTGTCATAAAATTAGTTTCCCTAAAAAGATTTCTTAAAAACAGTTTCCTTAAAGTACTTTTCCTAAAAAAGTTGTAAAAAAATAGTTATTATAAAAAATACTTCCCATAAAACAGTTTTTTGTAAAATGTTTGTCACAAAACAGGTTTTCCTAAACTGTTTTTCACAAAATAGTTTTCACAAAAATAGTTACCAGGAATCACAACAATAGTTTTTGTACATTGAAAAAGGGAATCAAGTTTCACAAAAGTGCATCTGGGTCTTTCCATAAATGAGGGCGTCAGCAAGTGTGACATTTCTTCTGTGTCCCTGTTACATCTGCCCCTTGTAATTTGAAAAATTAAAATATCATTGAAATTGACTATCTTGGCTTGTTTGGCAAGTAAAGAAAAGCAATCATACCAGTAAATTTCTGTTTTCCACAAGTTGGCAGCGCGTTCGACTGCGACTTTGAGGCAGATCTCTGCGGCTTCACTCAGCCAATCGACGACGATTTTGATTGGACCAGAGCCCAGAAAACCCCTTCCTCGAGCACTGGGCCGAGCACTGATCACACACTGGGATCAGGTAAAATCACCAAGGTTTTAATCAAAGGTCTGATGGTTCGAATCCGGCCCCTCACCACCTGCTGTGTCCTTGGGCAGGTCACTTTACTCCAATGTACCAGTACCTCCTTCCATGTGCATTGCTTTGAGGTTTTAATCAAAGGTCTGATGGTTCGAATCCGGCCCCTCACCACCTGCTGTGTCCTTGGGCAGGTCACTACTCCAATGTACCAGTACCTCCTTCCATGTGCATTGCTTTGAGGTTTTAATCAAAGGTCTGATGGTTCGAATCCAGCCCCTCACCACCTGCTGTGTCCTTGGGCAGGTCACTTTACCCCAATGTACCAGTACCTCCCTCCATGTGCATTGCTTTGATTTCTTTGGGGGGGTAAAACCACATTTTTTGTGGTGGGGGAGATTTTTGGGGCAAAGAGGGGTAAAGAGAGTTTCCGGCCCGTGTACACCTGGAAAACCCTGATCTCTTCCAGCACTTCTTCCACATGTGTATTACCCCCTAGCCTTTGCAATAGCTTGCTTCATATGCAAATCACTACTCCAGCCGAAAGATGCGAAGTATATATAAGGGTTTATTTTCCAAATGAGATATATCCGTTTGAAAAACAGGCATTTTTTCCCACAATTAAGATGGGAGAGCTTTAGGCGTGTACCATGTGTCCCTTAACTTCTTTTTCCTTATTCTGACTCATTAAAGTTGTGTTTAGCAGTCTTAAAGCTGTAGAAAGTGACTGCAGCAACTGAGAGACAGTAGGATCCTGAAAGATACCAGAATGGCCCATATAGCATTTTGGAAATACACTCTTCATGGAAATTAACTCTTCATATTACATACAAATGTTGGCATTGAATAAAGGTCAAAATAAGTATATAAGACAGTTGTGGAAACTAAACTCTCCCTCTCTAGGCGCTGGTTACTTCATCTACATCGAGGCATCCTTCCCCCGCCAGGCGGGCGACAAGGCCTGGTTGGTCAGTCCCAACGTCCCTCAGCAGACGGCCTCCCGCTGCCTGGACTTCTGGTACCACATGTACGGCGATGACATCGACACGTTCAATGTGTACGCCAACACCACCAGCACAGGGCTGGGCGTGCCCATCCTGAAGCGGGTGGGCACGCGGGAGGACAAGTGGTACCGGGCGCAGGTGGAGATCGTCAGGTCCTCGGAGGACTTCCAGGTTAGTGAGGAATTGATTTGATCGGGCATATACCATGGTCACGAGACAACACCTTCGCCCTAATAAACGTAACCCAGTCTAAAAAAGGTGCATTATGTCTCAAAAATGATGAAATATACACGTGTAAGCTTTCATTTGGTGTATGAAAACTAGCACAGTTCGTTCTAGAAACAAAATTTTTGGTGTTTTTTTATGTCAATTAGTTCCACAGAGTTCAGTTTAACAGCTGATTTTTAATCGGTAAGTCCTCATCCCGTTCTTATATTTTACTCATGCAGTACGTGTTCGAAGGAATTGTGGGTAACAGCTACGAGGGTGACCAGGCTCTTGACGACATTCGGGTGTACGATGGCGAATGTGAAGGTAAGCAGGGTCCTTGTTGGTACGACTGTTAAACTATCCGTCACGCTGGAGAGCCTGGCTGGTTCTTGTAATTAGTCAACCATCAGATGTTAAGCAGTTGCCGAGGGTGTTATTCCTCGTTGCGCTTGTCTGAGGTCTGGTGGGTATCAGTCGAAAATGTCGACTTTTAAGATGACAAGATACCGCAACCAAAGTCTCTTACAGAGCTTAACAAATTGCTGACCCTGTTTGTCATTTTTTTCAAGATTTGTGCGACATTTGTTATCGCATCATCTCTTTTTCAAAACTTTGATAGTTGCTGCAATGCCTGGCTATCCCGGAGCCACTTGTCGGCGACACATGCATGCACATGTACACTCAACCTCCGTGGACTGTTTTGAGCCTCTGCGTGTATAAAAACTCAGTGGAAAATCACTCCTGCGCGAGTTAAGATGTCACTCGGCCGTACATACAGAATTTGCTGAGATGTGTTTCAATGTCCTCCATGTTCCAACACAGTTCCTGCGTGTTTGGGCGTTTGCTTGCATGAAATGATCAAACTCCCCGTGATTGTTTGTTGTGCATTTGCATCCCTTTTTCATCTTTGCACATTTCCAGGCATCACCTTCATCAACTTTTTTACAAATAACCTTTTCTTCCACTTATTTTCCCCGACCAGCCACCCACTTCTGCGAGTTCCAAGACCCTAACCTCTGCGGCTACAAGCAAGACACCAAGGATGATTTTGACTGGACACACAACAAGGGACCAACCCCATCATTCTACACGGGTCCCACCGCCGACTACTCTTACGGAACACCTGAGGGTATTATGACCATACCTTGTCGGAAACCCTTAGAAGAGACCTGCAAAAAGAAAAACATGAAAAGAATGATAAAAGTGATGAATTAATTTCAATATGGTCATCCTTGTAACTGTTACAAGTCAGTATGGAGCTCTTGGAGTAACTGGCAATGGAAAGAAGGGATTAGTGGCCCCTAATTTTTTGACTGGGGGGCATTTCCCCATAATGCCAAGCCTTGTAATAAGCCTTTTGCGAGTTAAAATTTGACTAAAATCTTGTTCACCAAGTTCTTTATTAAATTCACATTCTCCAAACTAATGACACTGTTGCTGTACCTCGTGATCTGGGCAAGCTTTTGCTTAGCTACATAACAGACGCCTTGGACCAATACACTGTTCTCAATGGATAAGAAGGGCAGAAAGGAACCAGTCCATTCCAGTGATGGTGGTCATTATGCAAAAGCTTGCCCTGAATCACAAGTATTGCAACAATTTCTTTTAATAGTCTGGGGAATACAATTTTTCTGTTGATGTACAATCAGATAACTCAGTGTACCAGATTTTATTCAAAGGCTTACGGGATGCGGGGACTAACAGATCAGTCTATCAATGATTGATGTCTGATGGTCTCACAATTAACTGATCCCCTACTTTGAATATTGTTCCATCTTGCGGTCTTTGCATCTGTGTGACTGTGATTGACTCAGCCTTGGAAAAGATCAAATCAGCAGGAGAAACTTATCTGCCCTGAGTTGAAATCCACCCTCACCGGCGAAAGAAAGACGGGCTGGTACAAAGGTTTCCAACCAGGTTCTTGCTCGCGTTTGACACATATTTTGCATGCAGAGAACCATGCATTCCGGCATAAAATCATTTTGCTTACTCCGCATGCCCTGCTTCATAGGCATGTAAACTCTAGCACCTGTGCAGTGAGTTCATACCGAAGGACCGTCAATTTCATTCAAAAACACGCCACGGTTTTGTTCCCACTGGGAGCGGATAATGTAACATTATGTTTCAACCCCACCCTCCACCTAGGTTACTACATGTACATCGAGTGCAGTCCCCCTAGGCCCAACGACATAGCCAGGCTGATCAGCCCGGTGTTCGTTCCTGACCAGAGCACCAAGGACGCCTGCTGGACGTTCTTCTTCCACATGTATGGCGCCGACATCGGCACCCTCAAAGTCTTGGTAAGACTAGGCACGTCTCGCAAGGAAAGCCCTTCAAAGTTGAGGGCTGTGTATTTACTGGTAGTGGGTGAACCGGAAGCCCAATAAAAATCAAACATAGGTACTCGCTGATAGCCGTGACAGGAACCAAATTTCCAATTCCAAAAAAAGGAAAGATAAGAAATATTTTAAAATGGCAGTGCGTAGAATGCATTCAATTTTGTCTTTCTAAAAGATACTCCTCAAAAACTGTCAGATGCTGAATATCGTTATCAAAATTCTTGCTGAATAAAAACATGTGAATTACCAAGTTACTAAGTTAACACGAGTTAAGAAGTAACCAATATATGACATGCAGATACAGTAAAATCTCGATAAGTCGAAACTCCGTTTACCTCGACGTCTTTCTGTATTCCCGACAAAAGAATAGGTCTTTATGTACAATAAACTACCTGTAACTCGAGACTTCAATACCATTAAAGCCGCTTATCTCGAAGTTTTGGCAGGCCAATTAAAAAAAAAAAGAAGAATAAAAAGTGATGAAAGAACGCTTGCCTTCCTTGGGAGTCATTACTGTCACGCGTACGGCTTTTCTTTGATGAGCCGATCATGTTCACACGGGCTGCCATTGTCACGTCGACAAGCAATGGGTGGGCATCAACCGCAACCGTAAAATAAATCAGGCACGAATGATGCGCCCTCAAGCCCTTTGTACATGTATCACGTGACCCAGCACGGAAACCCTGACCGACTGGCCCGCATGCTGCGTCATGTGGTAACAGCCCGATCAAGCAAAGCAAATGAATGAATTCTCAAGACGTAGACACGGGTACCGGTACATAACTTCATTGGTTTATTGTTTATTAATGTACCACATAAAAACATGCCAACTGCCGTAAGCCAGTAAGGTTGCATGTGCACTGAAGCATGTAACTTTCGATAACTCAAACGTTGGATAACTCGAACTTTTTGTCCATTCCCCTGAGCTTCGACTTATCGAGATTTTACTGTATATTGCTTTTTTTGAAGCTTTTCAACAAAAGACTTCTGAAACATTTCCTTGCTACAACCTGAGAAGTTACTATAAAGTAATTTTTTATTAGCCGCAATTGTTTTTCTGGTCCCTTTAGTCAGTCTTGGACTGGTTCCAGACGGAAAGGCACCAGGAGCCCAGGCAACCATTACCAATGCGCAGTCCTACATCAAATGGTGTTTGGGTTTTAGACTGTGTCCAAATGACTCACTTATGGCTTGAAATGCCACCTGCTCCCATGGAAGCAAAAAATCTAGTGCCTGTATCCATTTCCCATAGGCCTGAGTGTTGCAGTTAGCCACAGCCACTTAAATCGGACTCACCTTCTTCGGGTCCTGGGATCTTGCTCTTCAAGACTCTAATGTTTTGAAACTTCTGGTTGCTCGTACACTATTGAATCAGAAGTTGCAAGACTGTTTTGGCAACAGTTTCAGGGTTAATGTCAGTCTCATGTGCATATTTTGTCATGGAAGCTAACAAATATGTCATGTATGTTCTTCAAACTTTGGTTGGGTTTTAAGGAAGTCGATCTGCATATTCTGGATAGTTTCAAAGAAGTCTTGAAATTTCTGGGCCAGCTTTACTCAGTTGTTGAAAACTTTTTGTCCAATGAATGATCGTTTCAATGCCATTGGTATCTTCCACAGATGCGCGACCAGAACCTGCAGGACACGACCATCTTCACGGCTTCCGGGGACAACTACGGCGACCGATGGCTGCTGGGAAGGGCTACAGTCACTAGCAAAACTGCCTACCAGGTAGTCTTGCAACATCTTATTAAATAAGCCTTGTGCGAGTTGTATTTGAATAAAATCTGGTACACTGAGTTATCTGATTGTACATTAACATAACAATTTGAATTCCCCAGACTAAAGGCACTGTCGCAATACTTCATGATTCAGGCAAGCTTTTGCATAGTGACCGCCATCTCTGGAACGGACTGGTTCCTTTGTGCCCATCTTATCCATTGAAAACAGTGTATTGTTGCAAGGCATCTCTTAGGTTACTAAGCAAAAGCTTGCCCCAAATCACAAGGTACAGCAACAGTGTCTTTAGTATGGAGAATTCAAATCATGTTCATGTGAATTTGAAAAAACTTTGTATACCAGATTTCATTCCTATTTTACCTCGCAAAAGGCTTATGCCAAAAGGCTATACCAGTGACAGTGCCAAAAGATATTGTATTTGAAAGGGGATTCTGATAATAGCTGATCAGCAGCATTCGGTGTGGTTTTTTTTTAGGTAGTGCAAATGCCCTGCCAGTTGTGAATTACCGTACCCCAGAGGACAAGGCAAATGTGCCTCCCTTTAAATTTGTTCCTCATTTTACCATTAATACAACCGCTTGATTTTGATGTCTTTTTTTTTATACAAGAGACTGAACTGTCAAAGGCAGAGTAAAGACAGATGAAGTAAAACATAATGTATCAGTGACAAATTTCGAAACCTTGAGTGTTCTGTTTTTGGTCACAATTTCCGTTTATGGCTCCAAAGCCATGATTCAGGTAACATAATTAGCAGTGCTGTAGATCTATGAACACTATCACTGGTCTCTTGGAGCAGCCCCCACTGATGGCAGTTAGCACTGTGCAAAAAAAGGAAATCAAGTCAGGGCTTTCTGCCATTAAAGGGGGCCATCGGGAATCCTGACAATTAATGAGACCGCCAGAGCTACCTGCAGGTCGTGAATATGCACAATGTAACGATAACTGTTTGTCCCCCTCGACCGTTGAAAGATTGTGTTTGAAGCCACGGCCGGGTCGGGCTACATGAGCGACATCGCCATCGACCACGTGGGCTACAAGGCCGGCGTCTGCCCCGAGAAGGGCTCTTGCGACTTCGAGGACAACATCTGCACGTGGACCAACAGCCAGGATGACGAATTTGATTGGCTGCGGCTCTCGGACAGCACCTGGAGTTCTTACACCGGCCCCAGCGAGGATCACACCTGTGGGTCGTCATGTTCTCCCGGACAAGGCAAGCCAACGAGAACCTAGAACCGAGTCATAAGAAGCCTTGAGCACCAGACATCTGGATTACACTTAATTCTTGATATAACAAAGTCAGAGGGACCAGACAATGGCTTTGGAGTGGGAAAACAAATAAAACACAGGAGTTCAAGAAATAGGGATTCTCAGAATTTGCTCTTTATAACAGCATCTTGTTATGGCAGTGTTCATTATATGGAGAGGCGACTGTACCTCTATAAAATTGTTGTTTGCTATGTCACAACCACCATAGGTCTATCTGCACTAATGATGCCTGACTTTATTTATGTGTATGCTTTCCTATGGGCATCCGTGGGTGGACCACAGACCCCCACTGCCTCCATTGGAAAGCATGAAAGAATAATGTTTACCACTGCTTAATTTACTTTATTATGCAGAGCCCCAATGAAAACCAGCTTGAAACTGTGAAAATTGACTTTAATCAAAACCTGATCTACGGAGTCACTGTACTAAGGATGCCAACATTTTATACAATGTATACTGGAGCCAGATGGGAATATCCCTGTTCTTCCCAATTGGTTTCTTAAATTCAATAACTTGATAAGCAATTCAATTTGTGTTTTACAATGTCCAAAATGAGTCAATTTATTTTATTTTACTAGTGCCATGTTCATTTGCTTATTCTATGACGTACATATATGTTGAAATTATTTTAGTTGGTACCAGTGTTCATTGTATGTCTTGTGATATGAGGTTACCTTAATTAATTGTTTGTAATATGCAGGGTCCCGATGGAAACCAGTTTTAAACTGTTTGGGCATACTTGGGTAAAGAAATGGAATAAATGCCATTGTCTCTCTTGCACCTCAGGTTACTATATGTACATCGAGACCAGCTCACCCCGCACCAGCGGCGACTATGCCTACCTGGAGAGCGAGGTCTTCCCCAAGTCTCCGCTCACCGGCTCCTGCATGTCCTTCTGGTATGGATTTGATCACATCTTCCTCAACCCTACTTCAGCTCGAGTTCCAACTCAATTTGACATAGGGATTTGAGTGTTGTGGTCATTTGAAGTGTCAGCTCATGTGCATTGAGTAGGCAATAGGAGGGCAAGGGCCATTGGACAACCCCTCTTCCCGCCTGATGTTAAAGAGTGAAACAGCAGTGAGATTTGTCAGGATTTTCCATCCTTCAGGATTTTCCATTAGGATTTTCCTGAATTCAAGACACCATTAATGGGTAAACTCTCTTGGTGGTGGTCGGGGATAATGATGTAATGCCTTGAGCACATGTAATAAGTGGGGTAGTATTGTGTACTTCGACAGCCAGAATTAGAAGCCGTTAGTGCTGTGGCATAACACTCATGGACAGGTGGTACGGACAGGTGGTATGAACAGGTGGTACCCGCATGTTGCATGCCTCTTCGACCAATAGGATGTTGCGATTTGCCAAATGCACAGGCGTGTCAAGCTGAAAAATGTCTGAGTGCAGTACCACCAGAGTTATGGCGTCTGATTGAATTTATAGTCAATAGGATCGGTCATTATTTTGTCCCTTTTCAGGTACCACATGTACGGATCGGACATCGGCGAGATGCTGATCTTTTCCCGAGGGCGTGGGAACAACTCCCGACTGGAGGAGTCGCTGTGGTACCTCCAAAAAGAACAGAGCGTCAACAGCACCGACTGGAAGTTTGGTCAAGTCGGCCTGTACTTCAACTACGACTATCAGGTATGCCCAAAAACTATTGCAGTACATGTGTGGCGCTTCATCTTACCCAAACCTGGGCCAAAATCTAGTGTAAAATTAACACTCTTGACGCAACAGCCGATCACATGCTGCTGCATTAGATTTGAGCCAGCCAGTCGATCCCGGCAAACCAGATGGTTCAGATAGTTGAGATGTCGGCACAAGAAAGCAGGAAGTTAGGCACTCAGATGTCACCCAGGTGAGCTGATGTTGGTGCAAGGGAAAAACCTAGCACATAAAAAATTGACATCCCCAACACAAAAGCCATCTATCCATCAGGTCAGATCATTCTGTGCCCAGTATAAGGGCATGTGTGCCATCTACCCTCTCGGGTACCCATTTGTTTTGTTTGGTTTGGGTGTAGGATTTTGGAGTTGGGGGTTGATTGGGGGGTTAGGGTCTGGGGCATTGGGTTTTGGAGCAGTGGAAATGGCATTTAGTAGTGAAATCTGTCTCAAATGATAAGTAGTGACATCCGCTGAAATCTACTCATTTGCATCTCTTGTTTCAATAAGGCCAATGCATTATACCCACATCAATGGAAAGAGGCATGTGTGGGTAAAGTGACTTGGCCAAGGTCCTGAGTCTTCAATAATCAGATGCCGATTTGAACCCCATGATCTTACGACTTGGGAATTGCGAGCACGGAAATGTAGGCCATATGTCCCTCTCACGTTTTCGATGTTGCACTTGAGATGTCATTTTCCGAGTCCAGCAAATGTATATATTTTTCATCATTTGCAGATCACCTTCGAAGGTGTCGTGGGGACGAGCTTCCTTGGCGACATTGCCATTGATGACATCAGTTTCTCGCACACCGGATTCTGCCAGTGTGAGTCGACTGGTCTCAATTACATTTCGAGCAGTTATTATTAATTTGCCTGAAAAACAGCTGCTGCCCCGCAACCATATTATTAATATCGAGAGTTGTAAGAGAAGTATTACCGGCTAAGAGGGTCACTTTAAGAAACAGGTGTGGTTTGATTTTAAGCTCAGAAGAAACAGCTTCAGTAACAGAATGTGACAGTGGATGTTTAGTGACAAATTTTAATTTTCCAAATCCGGCATCCCTACCTAGCTCCCACAAAAGAGCGCACATGTAGGAAACAAGGTGCGGCATCATCAGTACACTCAGAATTCCAGAAGGTTTGAGTGGAAGTTAACTCCTGATTGACACAAGGCATGGGACGCATTGGAGTGAAGTTTAATCAACTGAATAGGACGAGATTTCACTCAAGTTTCCTGGGGGAGTCTTTTTCGACGTGTTTAAGTTCAGAGTGATTTTAGCATCTGAGCATAGGCTCGCTCAGAAGAGAATGTGAGTTTGGAATATCTGGCCTCATTCTTGAATGTCTGGCATTGAAATTTAGAAACTATTTTCTCTCTGAATGTCAAAAAAAATCACATTTAGGCATGCCTAAACCAAAGTTATATCGGCAGTACTCAATCCTCCAAATTTTCTCCAAATCAAATCCCAATATATGTTACACGTTTTGCCGTTGTACTAGAACTGGCATTGGTGAGGCATTGGATCTGTTAGGATTGTAGTCACGCCCTCGTTGATCCTCAATCTATTTGCTGTCAAAGTAGTTGCATATCACCTCACATAGAAGCAATAATCTGTCAGGTGTCCTTGCAAAAAAAAAGGAATTTCCTTTCAACAATGAAAATTAAACAAAGTATCACTCCGTGGAAACACAGACCCATCATAAGAGCATGACGAAAATGGAGTTTGTTTAACTTTGAGACTCCAGCAGAAAGTGTGACTACATCTGTCGGATTGACTTTTATCAGCTTATATGTCTGAATGTCTTTTTATTTTTATTTTTTTTCTCTCTCCTTGTGGTGACAGTCCAGCCTAGGACGGCCGATCCAGCCACCCTGGCGCGCAACATCTCCTGCAACTTTGAGAAGAACACGTGCCGCTGGGTGCAGGACAAGTCCGATGACCTGAACTGGATCCGCCAATCCGGGCCAACATTCGGATGGGACACGGGACCAAACGGTGACCACACCACGGGCCAAGGTCAGGAATCAACTCCAATATTCTGTAATAGTGATGAGTACTTCACAAGTACCTGATTGGTACTTTACTAGTACTTTATTCCCTGGTACTTACAATGGCTTAAGTACTCCAAGAGTGCATCACTAGTACTTTACTGGTACTTTGAAGTACTTAAGCAGTCTTTCACTTGATTTTAGTATTTTGTTGGACTTATTCAGTCAAGTGATACTAATTGTTCACTGCTTGGGTACAGACTGGTACAGGTTGGTGATACCACCCACAGAGAGCAGAAGTCTTGGGCATGAGTTTGGGCAAAAACCTGTATACAAGATATCTACTTTGGATCTCTGGTGCGAGAGGATTCGAGGCATGCATAGTACCTCAACTTCATGCAATTTTTTTATGTCCCGCAGGTTATTACCTGTTGTTGGACGCTTGGAGTGGCGCCCTTGGCTCCAACGAAGTGGGCCGCATCACTTCACGGACCATAAACCCCACGTCGCTGACAGGCGGCTGCTTGACCTGGTGGTACCACATGGCCGGCCGGGACATGGGCACCATGAGCATGTACCTCAACGACCTCACCCTGCAGTCGATCATCAAGCTGTGGTCACGCTCAGGCGACCAGTCCGGCGACTGGCTCATGTTCCAGAGGACCATTAAGAGCGGCAATAAGTTTACGGTACGCTCAGGCTTTCACCGCCCTGACCTTTGTAATCTTCACCCTTCCTCTTTTCCTATGACACTTGCAGCCCAATTTCCAAACAGTTTACATAAGCATTCCAACCATCCTCTGTTTTACTCAAGTGAAGAGATTTCAGACAGACAAAGGATTTTCTCCCTTAAGGTAATAAATGCTAATTACAGGATGATTATGAGGTGAAAGTGAAAAAGACAGTCCAGAAATGTTCATTTTTTTGAGCCAAAAGGAAAACCCTGGATCAACGTTCCAGGGAAACCCCACAGAATTGAGTAGGGGATGAAAACCTAATCCATATGCCGACTTAGGTGGGATTCGAACCTTGGACTATGTAGGTAGAAGGTGAGAAAAGTACCACTTTACCTACCTGACAACAGGGAACGGTATTGCATGAAATGACTAATTTTTCTTCTCTTTCCCCAGATAACGTTTGAAGGGACAATGGGGTCCTTCTGGGCCAGCGACATGGCCCTCGATGACATCTCCTTCAATGAGGGAAGTTGCCCTCCAACGAGTGAGTGCCCTTCTTGAAAGTAGGCAATTTTTTTTGGCCTGGGTGTTGCTGCATCAACGTTGAGAAGATCTATGTGCCCCAAAAAAAAACCAAAATTCATAACAGCATAAGAGTGAGAAAAGTTCAACTTCTGTGACGCGCTCCCATCAGCCTGTAATGAGTCGCAGTCGAACTGTTTGTTTGAAGTTATTTTGTGTACAGATGGTAGGTGTTCTGCAGTTTTACAGTTTTTGTGACCTGGCCCGAATTTTACGGCACTGCTCAACGTTCAGGAAATTATTTTGCTAACCACAGCACAAACATTTGCTTAATGGGAAGCGTATTTCACAGCAACATGCCATGTTTGCTGTGCTTAGCAGAAACAATGTATGTAGAGAAGTTTCCATTCTTACGTCACTAAGTAAAGTAGATTCTCCCTCCAAAGTTAGTTAGTTTTCTGTGTTTAATGCTTACGGTCCCCATGAAATACGTGGAGCCTCTAATTGCGTCGCATCGTGTACTTAGAAGTGCCTTGAAAATGGGGCCCTGGGCATTACTTCATTGCTTGTTGCTCACTATTCCATTTGGCAGCAAGGCTTAGTGTTTTAAATGTCGGGTATTTCAGTCCATCAGCGTGGCATTATTCCACTCTTTTTTCTTTCCGTACAGAGTGGTGCGATTTCGAAGTCGACATGTGCGACTGGATTCAGGCGGTGACCGACGACTTTGATTGGGAGCGGAAGCGCGGCGATGAAGTGCATTCTGGGACTATCCTACCACTGCCCGACAAGACCTTTGAAACAGCCACAGGTATTAAAACAGAAAATCGGGACTGACAGACTCAACATTCTGATTAATCAACCTCCTTCAAAACTTCTCCAGTTCAAGTCAAAATTGGTGCCTACTTTGGCATGTACTTCCCCTACAGAAGACTACAGGCGTGACAGGGTGATTGCACCAACGTCAGAAACACGAATCAACATAGAATAAACTACCTGTGTATTTGACATTCAAGCTTTGTCAACTTGTTCATGGGTGGATCTAGCTTTCAGGAAATGTTGGGAGGGGGTTGATGGGCGTACTGAAGGGTTGCCCTCCTATGGCGGTCCAAAAGCATCATGCATCGTTCCCTGATGAAAAGAAAACCTTAATAACAATAGATGGATAGATGGATGGCGCAATCCTCGTCCGGGTATTTTTTTTGGGGGGTACTCATTTTCTGTCGTTTCACAGATAGTTCCATTTAGTCTGCAGCTGAACGTGGGGTTGCAACCCCCTCCCACCAGATCCCCCTCTGCTTGTTGGATAGAAAGCCAGCTTTATGCAGTAACACCGAATAAAAGAAGCGTTCTAACTGGACTTGGAAAAGAAAGATCCTAATTTTATGTAATGGCCAAATTGCTACATCTTATTTGTGTTGGTCATACTGCGCAGTGGTACTTCTGCTACCGTAGTCCTTCCCTCACCCCATCCCTAACGCCAATCCATAACCTTCACACACAGGAACACTGCACAGTGATACTTTTTACCCTTACCTTACCCCATCCCTAAACCATCCGCAAGCTAGTAACCCTCAACACATACCATGGTGAAGCCATAAGTGTTTCTGAGAAATATTTGGAAATGTATCCCGAAAAAAGTAACCAACAGTGCCAAAGTCTTCTTAATCCCAAGAATGGAGCATACCAAAATTTACCAATGTGGTGACAAAATGTATCAATTCATTTATTTATGTTTTTTTCTTATTTCAACTGGATGACCCATTCAGTGGAATCCACAGGTCTCCGTTGGGTTGGAGCATATAAGAAAAGACAATAAACATAAACAATCAAAATTGAAGTACAAAAGAACCATTTTCTTCCCAAAATATTTGCCTTGTTCACAAAAAGCTTGCACTGTGTTCCTTACCCTACTTGGCAAATAAATTTGGTGAGCACTGGAAATATCAGCTTATTAACAAAAACAGGTTTGCCAGTCAAAACTTGTGGCTGGCCGTCGTCAGTTTTTTGGGTCTGTAAACAAATTTACAGACCAAAGTTTTCCATTCGATGGCTCTGTGAAATTACCTCTTCCACCCCCTCACGCCCCACAGGTCACTTTGCCTACCTCAGCGAGAAGCCGCCCCGGGTCAAGGGTGACCAGGCCATCATGTACAACTCCCACTACCCGGCCACGCCCACTGGCGAGTGCCTCCACTTCTGGTACCACTTGCACGGGACGGGTGTGGGCTCGCTGGCCGTGCACCAATACACAGGGACGCTGGGCAACAAGATGTGGGAGAGAGTTGGGGAGCAAGACGACATCTGGCACCGCGCCACCGTCACGCTGCTCAGCAGCATTTCATTTTTTGTGAGTCGCATTTCCGTTCTCTGCCTGAGTTGCAATCAAAAGACCTTAATCACCGGGACAGCCATCTTACTTTTCAACCATTCAAAGCAATGTAACCAAACCGAGGCTGGAAGAGAATGTAGTCTGTTCCCTTTTCAGCATGTGAAATTGTGGTACTGTTGTTAATGGGTCTACAGGGTACAAAACATGGCAGCATTATGATAAAGGCCCATGGGGGAAAGGGGTAATCCCCCAGGACAAAACATTTGCTAGTTGAGAGCTGGGGAGTTCTTGGTGTACTGTTTGATTTAATAGCCCCCAAATGTAGCCTCACCCAACAAAAAGGCCGCAATATGTGACATACACAAATCACCAAATTTTTTGTTCCCCCCATAAAAAAAATTGGTTATGGATCCACTCCATCTCTGATGGAACCATTTACCAGTGTCTACATGTGAAATACTCATTCCCTGAAATGGTTTCATTCCTGTTCTTTTACTGAATTTCTCGCCCACATCAGCAGTGTTTGTAAGACATCAAGCCTCGTGGATGTTGGTTCGAGATTAGATTCAGGCAGACTGAAAATAAAGTTGTATGTAGAATTTGAGAGCACCAGCTCCTCGCTGGCTCAGGTGCACGGGGAGGGGGTATTAGGTTTTTTTTCTCCATTTGCAAAGTGGATATCAAAGAAAGTTTGCTGTAGAATTCATTGAAACTGAAGGTTGTCCGATGTTTCTTTTGTTAACTTTTGCAGTACGTCATATTTGCTGTCATGTTGCAGACTTTGCAGCACTTCTGTACCTGTTTCAACAGGCCTTTCAAGAAACTCAGATGAAACTCACTTGTTTCGATTTTTACCCTTTCTCCATGTTATTTTGAGGACTTGTACATATGGACCAATATTTTTCCAGCGTTGGTAGAGCACCTGCTCTGTTTGGCTGCTGTGAGATTCTGCAAAATGTATTCATAGTTACGTATGTATTCTGAGTTTTGTAAATTATCCTTTTTTTTTTAATCCAGCCGGCATTTGTGGGAACTGTTGGGGACCCCAGCGGCAATGGGGACATCGCCATAGACGAGATTGATCGCAAGGATGGTGCCTGCCTGCCACCAGGTATTGAAACTGTGCCCTAGTCCTCTGGCTGGAAAGTAATATAGTAGAAATTGCACTTCAAGTATTTATGTTTTCTTAATTGTTTTTTTTTTTTTTTTTGAGAGTTAAACGCTCAATTCTGAATCTAAAATCATTTACTTCGACCCCCTGGGTATTCTCAATGTCCAACTCAACCAGATGAATGTCTGCTGTTACGACAGGCACAAACCTCAACACCATGCACAGTATTTCAGGAAACCAGCATCAATTATGTACTGGATCAGGATGACACTGACAATTGTATGTGGCAAAATCTGTGACCATTATGCCGGTTGGTATTAAGAATTCACAGTTACTGAACGTGAAAATGAACCTTACAGTCTAGTTTACGATGGACAAAATACAGTTCTTGACTAAATGCTCACCTTCAGCAATGGTGTTGGCCAGTCTTGGGGAAACTGTGGTGACAGGTGACAGGGTGACTTTGACTCGGTGAATTTGATCAGACCCTCTATTTCATTTAAGTTGATTCTCTTTTTCAACATTGTTTTCACACATATGCTGCTGGGGAGCCCGGTCTCGGGCAAATAGGCTGGGCTCTGTAACAAAAGACCATACTCGGAACAAAAACCCGTGCTGCTGGGAATTGCTAAAAAAAATTTCAGTTGTCAGTAGAAGAGGAAATCCGTCATTGTTTTGAAATATTGTACCACTGTTTGTGGTATTCAGCAGGAGCGGAGTACCAGGACAAAAGCACTCTAGCACTCCAGTAATGAGCGATATAATATTGCTGCATGCTAATCTGGCCCCTATTGAAAAGACTCCAACCGCGCACTGTGCCAGTTTTGGGAACAAAAGAAACTTAAGTAACACCGCACAATCTGGGCTCTTTTTACCAGGCGGTAGGCCTGGCTGAAATACTCGGGCATCAATAGATGTCTGTTAGATTAGAGTAGCCACCAGACAGTCATTCCTGACTGTAAACATCCAGTAAATGAAGTTATGATTTTTTGAAGAATTTTGAAAATGCAAAATCTTGAAAATCTCCGGTTTTACGTCATGCAGCTTCAAATTACACCCGGCAGCAAGTGGTTAATGGTTCGTTTGCAACTCTTTAGCATCTTTGCCTTTCCTCTGTTATTCTGACTGCACAGTCTCAGTTCTGTAGACAGTTTTTTTGTTTTTCTGTTGCAGGATTTTACTGTGTACTTTTTTCAAATTTGTAACTAGGTTATTGTGATTTCCAAGAGGATCTGTGCGGCTGGTACAATGAGCCGAATGATGACCAACTGGACTTTGAACGCAGCAGCGGCGCCACCCAGAGCTACAACACCGGGCCGTCCTATGACCACACTTACGGAACTCAGAATGGTTAGCATTAGGGTTCAATTCAGTCTTCGCTTTCATTTCTTGAAAAGAAAAAGTGCACAGTTAGAGTGAGCTGTGAAAATTCTCAACAACTGGGTGCTTAGCCTGTAGGGAAGCAAACAAGGACCAATTTTTTTTTTCATTTGGACAGCAGAGGTAACAATTCAATTCAAGTGTGGTTTATTTTAGAGCAACCAAATAAAAAGTCACAAGACTAAAAATATTTGGTTTACAATATAGGTTAAAATTAACATTAAGATAATAAGTGAATTTAAAAAAGATGCCCCTTTTTTCCATGATTTCAAACTTTGATTTGATGAGGAAATTTCACATTAGCATCACAGTTATTATTTGTGTTGAGGCATATATAGACTGCACCAGAGTGTTGATGATTATCTTCTACTTGTAACTTTGTCTTATCGCCAACCCCCCTCTCTCGGCAGGCTATTACGTCTTCCTGGAGACCTCTTGGGCGACCAAGGGTGACGAGGCCTGGCTGGTGAGTGAACACTTCCAACCATCCACCACCGGCGACTGCCTCACCCTCTGGTATCACATGTACGGACAAGGTAAACCTACGTCTTAACCATTCAATGAGTTCTGTTGGAAATAACCAGCAAAGTCAGAGCCTGAATTATTTCAACTTCACAACTCCCACAAAAACGAACATTCATTCCACCAGCATATCAGGCAGAAATGAAACTTGCTAACTGTCCCCCCTCTATTGCTCTAAGGCGTGGACAAGATGCAGGTGGCCCAGATGGACCCCACGACCAAGACCAAGACAGTCAAGCAGACAGTCAACGGCAACCAGGGTGATGCCTGGCACGAGCTGCAGGTTGACCTGAGCAGTCCTACAGCCAGCTACCAGATCGTCATCATCGCGGTGGTGGGTAAAAACTACACCAGCGATATCGCAGTAGACGATCTCCACTGGACCACTGGCAAATGCGGAAGTACGAGAAAAAAAGCATTTAATTGCCCCAGAACTTGAATTGGGAACAATTTTGTCACTGATGTGACTGACAAAATTAGTGTGAAAAATGCGTTCAGAAATAGCTGCAGTCTTGAATGTTCTTCCCAAAATGGCATCACACTTTTGCTCATAAATGAGCAAATTTGCATTAAAATGGAGTAAGGTATTTTAAGGACCCAAAACTACACCTTGAGTTGTTGGTCACTTTTCAAACTTTACTCTCCTCCATCTTTTGACTTTTTAAAATTACCGGAGATTTCTTTTTGAATAGCGAAGTATGGTTTGCTTCATGCGCATCATTTGCCTCGGGCAGTTAAAAAAATTTAAATTCCCCACTCCAATTGGGTGGGAAGACAAAGCAAAATACACCTGCTTGAAGTGACTCACTGTTTTCATGACATTTTCACAGCGCCAAAACTCCAGGACTGCGATTTTGAGCTCAACCTTTGCGGTTACAGCCAGGCGACAGACGACGATTTCGACTGGACGAGAGCGCAAGGGTCAACGACCTCCAGCCAGACAGGGCCACCCACGGACCACACTTTTGGCACCGGTAGGTCTGAGAGTCAAGAGAAAAGAAGAGTAGATAGCAAGGAAATTGAAACGAAAGGTGTGGCCGGGGCTGCTGGAATGCAAGGCCACGCTGGTGCCTTCAGGACTGTAAATCTTGAGCCAGGCTCTTCTGGTTGAGCCAGGCACCCGTCTTTTCCTTTGTCATACAGTGAATTCGCTGCCATAGACATGACGTCACTCAGAGGTCACAGGCTTGGTGCCCTAGCGACTAGCTCACTCTTTTTCACACAGAGCCATCATGGCTGTTTCAATGTGCGGTATCAGTTGCGATTTTGCACTGCATGATTAAACGGCCGCTGTGATTCGCTAGTTACACTTTGTTTACATTATCTTGACCAATCACACTGACGCTAGCACATCCGTTCAGAAAGCTCTCACTGCGTTCATGCTCATCAAAACCCACGTTCAGAATTCTGTCAAATGTGAAGCCGGGAAGCGAAAGAACTTACAATGACGGCTCTCACTTGTGTGATTGCATCCTGCTGCATAGCAGCCGCCCATGTTTCCCTTCAAAAAGTGAGTTTGAATGGTTGAATTTTTACGTGAAATATCGAGTGTTTCGTGCCACACGTTGAGTAAAGGAAGGATCAGGTTGCTATCCATGAGGCGTGAGCCAGTGCTAAGGAAAATGCTGTGACCTCGGCAGGAAGTGACGATGGTCTACACTGGCGAATTCACCTTACAACAAAAACATCACCGATCAATAAAATCAGACTTTTACGCTTCTTAGCCAGACCGACATCCCACCGACCTTGGTCAAGTCTGCTGCCGTTGTTCAGTTCCATTGTGTGTGGCGGCAACTTTGACATTGGAGTATTGGCCGCAAAGCATGAACAACCTTACTCCTCTATCCTCTTTGTTGAATAGCTGGGTAAAGCTGCCCCTTAATTAAAGCTGACTCGAGCCATTAGTCAAGTGGGAGTTCAGAGCAAGGGATAAAAAAAAATCCAAAGGTTTCTAATTTGCCTGAGTGCAGCCTGGTTGTTCCATAGTGAAGCCTGGCCCCTGGTTGTGAGTTGCTTTCATTTGTTCGTAGGGAGGCTGTGAGTGAGTAGTCTATTGAATTGACTTAACTTCAGCAATAAAAAATAGAGGCCATTAATTAATTGACATAGTTTCATGTTCTGTTTTTAGACAATTTGAATTAGACTGTGATTCCCTGGCATTCAACATCGCAAATATCAAAGCCGACACTTGAATCAAACCTATCAAATCTTCTATCCAGACAAAAGAAAATTGAGTCTAATGCAATTCAGAAATGGAATTCGTTGGCCGTTTCCTCCATTGAGCCGTGAAAAGTAGCCTCTCCATGCTAACCACATGTTGGTACGCTGTGTCGTGACCCACCTGTGTTACCCTTTCAGCCATTTCTATAGGGCACTTAGTTTCTTTTGTTTTACCAATAACTTTTTTTAAAAATCTAAGTAGTTTTTGTTCAATGCCCTGCAGATCAAGGCTACTATGTGTACATCGAGGACAGCGGCCAGCCCTACGACGACAAGGCCCGGCTACTCAGCCCCCTGGTGGATAACAGCCACAAGTCCTGCATCAGCTTCTACTACCACATGTTCGGCTCGGACATCCAGACCCTCAACGTCTATGTCCAGCCCCAGGGCGGGGTCCTATCACAGCCCATCTGGACCCGCTCTGGCACCCTGGACGACAGGTGGTACCTGGGCCAGTTTGAGGCCGCATTCTCGTCACCGTATCAGGTACAAATTTTTTTTTAAACCTGGACTCTGAAAGACATCTTCAAGGGTAGAATGCCCCCCCCCGTGTGTGTCGCTTTCCATTGTTCATTAAAGGCACAGTCCATCATTTGTCATTTAAGAATTAAGGCAACAAAATTATTCAAAAATCTTAAAGACGGGTGCCTAAGAACAAACCTGATGAAGTTTCAGCTCAGTGAATGCCGTATATTCTGAGAAAAACAATACTCTAAGATTTTGATTTCAGATCAGAAACTTTTAAGTTGTGTTTTCAACTACACCTGAATTCAGCATCAGGAACACGTAATTCTAATGTTAAGTCGGGTGCAGCTTCATGATGTCATGCCTGGCAGAGTGGAACCAACAAATTGTGGTAACATGTATGCTTTTTGTCAATAATTTCGCCAGCTAATTTTGGGATAAATGCGCCTGTATCTTTAACTTGAAGAACAGTTTGGAGGGGGCCTACCCTGCCCCCTTGACAGTTTGTCTGATTTCACAGCAGTCCATTTCTTTTTATGCCAGGTCTTCAGGAATTTTACTATTAATGCTGTACCTATCACTTTGACACCAATTTTATGAAAGTTGCATAACCGGTCAGTGCTAATGGGACAACATGCCATGAATGATAAATGAACATAAGCACAAAATCGAATTTAGGATTGATTTGAAACTTCAAAGAAGTGCTCACAATGAATGCCGTCATTCGCAAGGTGCCACATCCGATGAGGCTGAGGACTTAGCAGGATTAAACACTTGGTCTTGTGCAGTGTCAGGTCTGAATGAAATTGGGGGCGGCAAACATTTCCACTGGGGTTCCAAGGCTTCAGGTTAAGCTTTCAATCCATTTAATGAAGCCGTCATCCCTATAGCCCCATAAGGGCTCAGCAGTGATGGATACAGTGTGCACACATGTGACCATTCACTAACAGTGGGTGACGTGAACAGCACCATTATGTGGTCCCTCAAGAACATGCAAAAAATGAACGTAAAGTATACAGCTAAATGTATCTGTCCTCCAGTGCGTGACTTGGCTTTGACGTATGTGAAGCTATTGACATGAGCATCTACAACGCACAGCACACACGTAGGGGTGCTAGTGCCGCTTTCCTTTTCACGTGCAGGCACACGTTTTTGTATCTTTCCTTCCGCACGCGACCCTCCGGGCAAGACTGCGCACATACACGCACCAGATAGTCAGAATGTAACACAGTGCAGTACAATATAATACATGTACATTATAATGAATACAATGTAGGGTTTAATACACGCTTAATATACTAAAATGGGTTAAAGAGAAAAACAGTTTTATCAGTATAGACTGCAGTTTTGTCAAGTTACCAGATTTGTTTGACGCCAGATTGTTTATGAAGGAGTTGCCAGCTATAGTTACCAGGGAGACATTGCCCTCGACGACTTGAAAATAACTGACGGCAATTGTAAGGGTAAGTGGGACCCCTACTTATAAACATTTCCACAGTTTTAGATTGCCATGAGATATTAACCCAAACCATCTTACACCCTTCAAAGTTTGGGCTGGAAGTTTTTGAGAATTCTGTCAAATTGCAGGAGGTCACAGGGCCGGTACGGTCCCTGAAAGTCCTAGAATTCCATTTTTCTCTTTTCATGGCCTGGAAAGTACTGGAATTTATCGCAAGTCCTTTGAAGTCCTTGAAAACTCACTTTTTGTGATAAAAATATAAATTCGTGCGGAGACGTGCATCCGTAGGAGCTTCAAAATACACCCTAACCAGCAAAGTGAACTGGCCACTTTTGCTGGTTACTGGGATGGGGAAAGATTTCACTGGAGATCTGTATCCCACAATAGGCCAACTGTCTTGCAGAGGATTCTCAGAGGATTGGGGGCAATGTCTGTAACAACGAAATCCCTGTAGAAGTATAATGAAAGTTGAAAGTAAAACTGAACTTAGGTTTTTAGCAATTCTTGACGGCAGCACTCTCTGATAATTTCCCAAGGCACTACTCGCTGCACGTTTGAAGACACCACGCTCTGCAGCTACATTCAGGAGACCAGCGATGACTTTGATTGGATTGTCTCCCACGGACCCACCCCAACCAAGAACACAGGGCCCTCAGTAGACGTGACCCTTGGCACCAGCTCGGGTAAGAGTGACTCTGTGATCTTTCACCTCTTGATCAAGTTGATGGTGCTGCTCATAATACTCGGCAATAGCCACATTAGGTCTTGTAAGACATCATCTTGTTTCCAAATGGTTTGTTGGTTGTTGTGCACTTTGGCCCCAAAATGGCTTCAAATTTGTCGTTAGCATGTCGTTAGCCCCTCTATACACCTCTCCATCCAGCAAATGTAGGAGGGGACGGCTTTAGACAGCAATAATTGGTCGAGGTAGTATTTGGTCGAAATCACTTTTCCATCTTTGGAAATAGTTGTCCGTGGTACCCACTGCTATACTGATTCAAACCGGCCAGCCGACACCGGCAAGCTCAGTGGTCAAGCGGTTAAGACGTCTGCACTAGTAAGCAGGATCTTCTGGGAATTGACTTTTAATGTGAAAAACATTTAGAAAACTTTCCAAATCCGCGTAAACGTTTAGCCAACGCTTTTTTAAGGCCACCGAATACCATGAACGAATTCATGTACATGTATTCCTTTGAGATGACCGAGTAGCAAAGTGTTCCAAAAACCTGATTCCATTTTACAGGCATCGTTTACAATAAAAATGAATGCAAGATTGCGTCAATCAAAACGCCAAAGCTCTAAAAGGGGCAGTTCCGTTTGAATGTTTTGGAAAATCTGTAAATGGGTTTGGAACTTGTTTCATTTAAACGTGTAACCATCCTACCCTTAGATCTGACTTTGCCTTGATAAACTGTTTATCCCAATGTGAATAACTGTCATATCCTGAGGTGTCACTGTGCAGTTTGATTACCGAAGTTGTTCCTTCTTGGACTGATTTGCTGAACCAAAAGTATAAGTTTGTTCCCCCGTTGCACCAATGCCTTCTGCAGGACGCTACATGTACGCTGAAGCAGACCAGAGGTCAGTCGGTGACCAGGCTGCCCTTCTGACCCCCAACTACTCACCGGGCAGCGGAGTGACCGACACGTGCTGGACGTTCTACTATCACATGTACGGCGCCGACATGGGCCAGCTGTCTGTGGGGGTAGGTGTCACCTTCCACCGTAAACAGGGAAGGAAAATTTGACTGGAGTGAGCTTCAGTTGCTTTGATGCATTGGGCAAAGATGACGCTGCATTGTACGCATTCTGCCAAAAATTTGGTCATGTGATCATACATTATCCTCGTGTTGTCTCAGCAAAGACAGAATGTAATCCTCCAACTAGTGTTTTAGATTATGGGAACGTTTGCAGTGATACTTTGAGAATGTTACTCTATTGGTTGTAAGAGATGACCTGGTCTCCTAACATTTTAAAAAGGTTGTGATAGGATACAATTAAAACAATGCTATGCTGCCAACAGATCATAAGAAAACTTCCCCACGTTTTTGTTGCTGCAATGTTGTACAAAAATATGACAACGTATACATGCTAATGTCATTGCAACGTTGTGGAAGACTTTCTGTTCGTAGGGTTTTCCTTTCAGAGAGAGTCAGAGGGGGGGAATCTGTCACTTATTTGAGAGTGAGGACTAAACTTCTGGTTTTTTTACACAATTTTCTGTCAGGTCAATGGTCAGACTGCTCTCTGGTCTGAATCGGGCAACCTGGGCGACACATGGAACTATGCCTTGGTTAATGTCCAGCGATCGTCCACCTACCAGTTGAGGTTTGAGGCTCAGATTGGGGGCACTCTGTCAGATATTGCCATTGATGACGTAGACCATTATCCGCGGGCATGCCAGCTTGGAGGTGAGGAGGTCAAGGACGGAATATGATTGACAACCCCACTTTACTAATACAATGAAACAACTTGTCTCTCGTGGTATGGTCCATGGCCTTTTGCACACCCTCGGAGGCAAATGATACTCTCTGCTATGCCAATACGTACCTCCTTCCTCTGCTGGAAAACAGCAGACTATACAGCAGGATAACACAGTAGACAGAATGTGTTATGGTCCATGGGTTTTCACACCCCCTCAGAGGCAAATGGCAACTTCAGCTATTCTTTTTTATTAATCTCAAAATAAAAAAGGCCATGGGCCACATCATAGCAGATTGCCTATGGGTGTTGTAACATGGTCCATGGGTTTTTTGCACACCCTCGAGGTCAAATGGCACCCTTAGCTGTACCTTTGGAACCTGATATAGAATTGCATCATGGCTTTGGAGAGGCGTGGAAACTGTGGCCTTTATAAGCTCCAATTTCCAAAGTTTTTGTCTGTCTTTCTTCCTGCCCGTGTAGGCGATTGTGACTTTGAGGACAACATGTGCGAGTGGCGTCACTCTCTCGACGGGAACATCCAGTGGCTGAGGTCATCCGGAGGCACCGCCAGCTCCTTCACTGGTCCCGATATCGACCACACCAAAGGAACCAAAGATGGTGAGTCAAGACCCTCGACGGGTACATGCCAGGGTCGCATGGAGGGGTTGAAACTGTTGATGCTCAGTCCACATCTAAAGTAGTAGTCTACAACTTTCTACTGTTAGACTTTTTTCAAAGTCCCATTAATGAGCAATTCAGTTCAGGTGCCAACTTAGCTTGACAATAAGTCAGTTGCTTTTTAACAATGCGCACTGTCACCACTCCGACATTTGGCCCTCACAATTAGGAATGGCAACCCCGGATCCTTTAGGATGCACCGACAATCAAAATAAATAGCAAGATCAAACGGTCTTCTGGAATTCCAATATTCTGTATTCCAATATTTACAACACGAGATAAATAGAAAGTGAACTTCTTACAGAATTATTTAATTATTTACAGATATGTGATTAAGTCATAAAAACCTCAAGTATACTGAATTAGTCAATCAGTGGACTCTAGGATCATCACATCAATCATAAAAAAGAAAGGTTCCATCAAATATCCACTTTAACTTATTAAAATAGCAAAATTAATCGGTCCACCCTCTGTTGAAGTCTCTGTAGCCCCCTGAATCTGGCATCTAAAAAACCTCAGTAGATCAGCCCAAATCTCAGGCAGGCAGAGCAAGTTCAGAGTCTATGCTCCTTAGCGGTACACAAGGGACTCTTCTCGGTCATTGGAGACCAGTCTCCAACATAAGGCCATCTACAATAAATATAAACATATAAATATATGAACGGAACACAGTAAAACATGATCGGAAAAACACAACATTCAATTCATGCACTGGTTGCACTGTAACACGCACACACATTTTAGTTAAACTCAAACTTTTAACTGTCATCATTACTCACATTTCACCGCTGGCTGCAATTCTCACAACATACGTGATCTGTGAAGTCTCGTACAATTATTTTCATATAAACGGCTCCCTCCGTAATGATAAATGAGATGGGTTATTGATAACCTGCGGTTCGACCATGCCCTGGGGCCTGGTTCCAAGTGGTCGACTAGATAGTCCACATCATCCATCGTTCAGCCAGTGTTAGTCAAATTATGGTTAACTATAGTCATCCCTTGAACTGGCCCCACAGTGACAAGCAGTCATAGTATTCAGCATCACATTGCACAATGACTCTCAAGGCGAGAGCCCTTCAGTTTGGAACTCAACCCATCACCACCTCTCTGCAACAGTAGCGCCTCTTTTGAAGGACCGAAAGCACAGCCTGGAAGCGCTCAGCCATGCCAATCAGTCTGCGACGTCATACCTAAACAAAATCACGGATTGGCCAGAATATGTGGCTTCAGCACGGCATAAGGAACTGATTGCTCAAGTTTCTAAACACAGTGATTTATCACTGTGTCGTGGTTTTAATTTGCCACTCTCAGTTTAAAACAGTTCCCACGAGAAACCATTGGACTGTTTTTTTTTTCACCACAAGTTTGTTACCATTTCTTTTTCAAATGAGCCTCTGCAAACATTTTTTAAAACATAATTTTCAGGGTTACACACCTCAACCATTAGGCCACATGGCCCTAAAATAAATATAAAATATTCAACTTTCTTTCTTTTTAATAATAAGCACCTGGGTCCAATCACATGGCACTGCTTAACTGTTCATAGCAGAAAAGTTTGGCAGAAGATTTTGCTGACCTAGTACAATGCCATGACGTGGTTACGGTAACTAACGGTTGAGCTTCTGTAGACACTCCCATGGTTACATTAAGCCCATTTTTCCTCCCAGGTAAGCCTGTCCCATGAAATATGCAGAGTCTCTCTGAGTGTAAAAGGCATTTCCTTGGGCGAGTATGCCACAGTCAATTTGCCAACTCGACGACCTGTTCGTGTAAAATTCACACTTGAAGTGATCCATGCTACGCTACACTTCATGCTTTAGGGGAAATGCCAATGGCCAACGTATATCGTTTATGTACTCATTTTGGATTCATTAAGGGGAATTAATTGTCGTGGGGGGAGGCACCACCATCCCCGGGTTGTTACACCCCTTGCATGGCAGCGCCACGAAATTGGGCTCTTGTCAGTTACCGTGGTTGTTTTATTTGACTACTTGACGACTGAATCAACCAGAGACATTCCATCGTGTGACTTGAGAAGTGGATGCCTGCCACTTATCCCAGCCATTTGGTCATTTCTTCCTGCTACGGAAAATCAAATTAAATCAAATCTAACCAAATCACTATTTCTTTTTAACAAAAGTCATGCAGAAGATGCACATGTGACTGTCACTGAACTATGATATCCTAAAATTGTTTTGTTGACCAACCTCCCATTTTGGCTAGGTAACTACATGTACCTGGAGACGAGCTCCCCACACAGTATCGGGGACCACGGGGTCTTGGTGAGTGGGGTATACAATCCCCCTGCCTCCGGCACCGTCACCAAGTGCCTCAACTTCTGGTACCACATGTTTGGGAAAGACATCGGCGAGCTCTCACTCTACAAGGTAAAAAACAAGCATTTGGATTAGATTACAGAGCACCATGTAAAGATCATCTGTCCATGAGTAGTTCTTTGTTTTGCATTTCTCGGAATTCTCTCCTCTTGCTGAGTAGTTCTCTGTTTTGCTCTTCTCGCAGTTCTCTACTCTCAATGAGTAGTTCTTTGTTTTGCTCTTCTTGCAGTTCTCTACTCTCAATGAGTAATTATTTGCTTCGCACTTCTCGCAATTCTCTTCTCTTGATGAAAAGTTATTTGTTTCGCACTTCTCTCATTTTTCTACCCTCACTGAGTGATTATTCATATCAACATCTTTCTGTCCTTTTTTTATCAAGGTGGAAGATCTTGGCGGAACCAAGACCAAGACCATTGCTTGGAGTCTCTTCAACGAGCAGAGTGTCGATGAAAAGGACTGGAAGAACGGAGCCATCTCCTTCACCAGCGACAAGAACTTTGAGGTGAGGGCCCCACCCCCATTTGCAGGTCTACAAAATGCACACTCAATACGATCAGTAAAAGGAACTCGCGGGTGTTGGAAAACTTTTTCTGGTCCAGAGCAAAAAAAATGACCTATAGGGGCTTTGCATGGTAGCCATCTCGCTGGGCACTGGCCTGCAAGATGGCAGCCCTGCAAACCTTCTAAATGTTGATGTGAAACTCCACCTTCACGCCAGGCATTATTCTGCATGCAAGATTGAAAAAGAGGCAACAAAGAGTCATTTTTTGTTTACCTTTGCCAAATTGTTCTAGATCTATATCGATGGTGTTGTTGGTGCCGGATACCAAGGCGACATTGCTCTGGACGACTTCACTGTAACAGACACAGCATGCACAGGTAAGTATGCGAGACCAGTCGTAAACAGTCACAGACAGCATCATAAAATCTGCAAGCTGTTACAGATAATCATGTGTTGAATTTGTCTTACTTTAAAAACAGATTCCATAAGTGTTTGAGACTAGTCACACATTATAGTCACAGACAGCATCAGAACAAATCAGCAATCGGTAGTAAGACAATTGATATTACTGTGGTTTATTGGTTTGCAAAACAGTCCAACCGGCTGCAGCCAAGCCAAGCACAGCATTTGACTGCGACTTTGACAATGGACCCTGCGGCTGGAGGCAGGACCCCAACGACGACTTTGATTGGCTACGCTCCATCGGGGGCACTCCATCGTCCGACACTGGTCCCAGTGGAGATCACACCACTGGATCAGGTAAAATGGTCACGTCAATCAAACGTAATGTTGCGGTCCAGGGATTCCCCAGTGAGTTCCTCAGTCATCTTAATTTGAATGCGACCTCCGACATGTAGTGCACGATGTCAAGGCATGATCCAAGCGGCATAACGTGCAGACTTGCAAATCGTCATCTCGGGGTCGCATCCATCGACCGGAAGTTGCACACAACATATTACATTTTGGGCACGACTTAAGAAGTTTCCCCCACAATGCCCAGTCAGTCCCCATACTTGAAACAAACTTCACCTTGGTTATAGCTGGCCTCACAGCAATGGCATTGTGCGGGGTTACGTAGCCTTCTCTGGTAATTCATTTAGGCAAACTTTAAGACATTAGGGGGTCATTTTTGTCATTATTGATAGGTGTACCTGACAATGAAACTGTGGTGCTCATTTTTTTAATGAGATTGTGTTTGGATTTCACATGTTTGGAAATTCAAAATCTCAGAATCCACTCTCTAAATTTATCATATCATTTTGTATTTGAACAGTTAAGACTGGAATTAAATTTTAACCCATGGCTTTTAGAGTGCTCCTAAACTGCACCACTGGCTTGCTTTATATGTTTTTGCCCATATTTTGACGAAAACAAATTAAAAAAACAAGAGCGGTTCATAACAAACAGGGCTTGATTTCTCGTGCGAGCAAAATGGAATAAAGCACTTAGCGCATTGATACGTTTAGCCCAAACTAGCTAGGAGCCAGTTTTAAACAATTTAAATCACACCAAATTTTGGCTGGTAACTTTTTTTTGCCGGTAACCTGTTTTTGCTGAGCAACTGTTTTTAGCACTTAGCAGCTTCTGAATGTGAAACTCTGTGGGACAGGCTCAGCATTTGTCTACTGTCCCGTCTACATTCACTGGCTGCAGATGAAAACCATAACCCTATAGAGAGCCACTGGCTTAGCGGCTGCATCTACCTCCCATGGACACAATACACGATGCCCAGCAGCATCCCCTCAATTCCAACACAGCCTCTGCTACTGGCCAGTGGTCAAACTAGATTTCTTGTTGCTTATCGCAGGCTTCTACATGTACACGGAGACCTCATTTCCCCGCCAGTCAGGCGACGTGGCCATGTTGGTCTCACCGGTCACCAAGGGCGACGGCAGCAACCTGTGCTTCTCTTTCTGGTACCACATGTTCGGCAGCGACATGGGCACACTGGAAGTTCTTCTCCGGTAAGACATTGCCCTCAAATTTGTTTTTACATTCTTTGTGAGCAGTTCACTAGCTGGTCATGTATAGAATCTACAGATCAGGGGCATTTTCCCTGAAGCTAGGTCTCTTCAGTTCCAACCCCAGGCAGATCCTTGTTTTGATGACTGTCCAGAATAGCAGTTGCACCCTACGGTAAGAATCGAGGATGCAACAAAAGGATAGTCTCTCAGCCATTTCACGATATGTCACACCTGCCAAGACAATTGATTGGCCAGAACATCCAGTCACCTTGCTGCATCTTCGAAAAATCATTCTTGGTTTCTATAAATTGCTGTTTGTCACCCCGCAGCACAGTTTGTCCTCTCTCAATGTGAACAAACCCCCTAGGCAACCTGTGTTTTCTGTATATTTTATTGTTCAGAGCAATTTTCTTACCACTTAATTGTGTAGATTGGCCGATGCACTGGTATGCTAATTGTTTGGATTTTTTGTTGTTTCTTTTTTCAGGGAAGCGGGGAGTTCAAACGACCAAGCTCTCTGGCGAAAGAAACAAGACCAGGGCAATCAGTGGCTACAGTCTTTCCGTAACATCGGTTCCTCCAAAGACTTCCAGGTAAGATAGACGTTCTTGTGTGCTTGAGGCACATATGCCAGAACCCTTATTGCTGTCCATGTGGCAGAGAGTGGCCCATTAAAACTGTAAAAACTGCTTTTTTTTTAATTCTGCATTTGATCATGGTTTTTACGCTAGTTGTTTTGAATTATTTCACAACAAATTTTCTCAGAAAATGCCGACTTTTTTTATGTGGTTTTTTCAATTGACAAAACACCATAACTGCCATCTCAGTACAAAGTTGGACTTTTACAAATACTGACCCTTAGTGGTCATTTGCTCAAGATTTGTGTCACATTTCCAAAAGCATCGCTTTTGTGGAAACACTAAGATAATGCCACAAGCAATATTTGCTACAAAGCCCAGCCATGTGCTACGGCCACTTGAGGCCTTCATGCACGCTCAACCACCGTAGACAAGTTTGAGTCGCTGTGTGTGTGTACAAACATGGTGGGCATCACTGAAGCGAAAGGACGAGTATAGATGTCACCTATAACTGCGTACAAAATCACCACTGTGCGATTAAACTGCCACTGCCAACTGCAACTGCCACTGAACCAAGAAACAATTTGCCCTAACACACTGAAAAAACCCTGTTTGTTTACACTCCATCCAACATGAAGTGGGCAAATTGTTTCTCGGTTTGGTTTGAAGCTAGAAAAAGAAGAGCAAGACTGGGAATTGTAAAGCATGTTCATTTTTAGAACCAGTGAAAAATTTCTGCTCAAAAGGGCTCAGCCAGTGAAAGTTTCCTTGGAAGTACTTTTGATGCAACTTAAAACCCGTTTTCAGTGTACGCACACAATTTGGCATCCATTTGCTCACTCAAAACATTTCTGAGAAAGGGTTTCTTGTTGGGTTCAGGCCACGTACCCAGACAGCCATTTTCCAAGGTAAAGGTAATTCAGGTCGGCAAACTATCAAACTTCCAAGAGATTTTGTGCACAAATCAATGCCATGTTGAGGTTTTCTCCAAGGAGTGGCATCACAGTATTGCTCAAGGATATTCAAATTTGCACCAAAACCAAAAAGGCACGAAAACACCTTTCAAAATTGCCAAACAAAAATTGAGAATAAGAGCTCAAATGCCTGTCCCTTGTCAACGGTTGTAGTTTTAGAACAATGCACTGCCTGGACCCTTTAAAGCACTCGGCTCCAGAGATAGCAAGTAACGTGAACTGCTTGAGACTTTTAATGTGTTTTCTGTAGATCGTGCTCAAAGGTATCCGGGGAGGAGGTTACGAGAGCGACATCGCCATTGATGATGTAAAGATGGTCACGGGGCAGTGCCCGCCTGAGAGTAAGTACATGTACCCAACGTCTTAAGGTTTTGCAGAGCTGAATTGGAGGAAGTCATCCAAATTGTGGCTGCCACCTCTGTCTTCAGCTTCAAATTAAAGTACCATTTATAATTGTATTCATCGCTTTGGTTTATTGTGATTCCATATTTCATCAACTGAAAGATTGTCCATGTCTGTTATACACATAGAGCTAGATAGAAAAACTAGAGCACAGTACAAAGTGATGCCTGCTTGGCGCATCCGTGTTTTTGCACAAACCTTTGTGAAATTTTGTACGGCTTTTGTATGGCTATTTGCATATCTGCGTCGGTATTTGAAAACAATGTGTCAACAAAGCCAATACGCAAAGACCCTAAACACACAATCAGTAAATGAGCACTTTATTTTGCTTTTTTTTTTAATCAGATTTTATCAGTACCCGATGCGCTCTGATTTTGAATGTCTAACAATCACGTACATGGGTTCAAAATGCCTGCACCGAGGATGGTGTCCAATTCTTTCTGCGGAGAGAATGACAAGTTAATGCTCTAGTAATTTGATATTGCTCTATGGCTATACAGCACCCGAATGAATCCCTGCCATCTGATTGGTGGATTATTGATCACTTGATATTGAATTATGAGGAATATTGGCCAGTGACTGTTGAATAAGCCCTGTTTGTTGTACCCATGGCCACTGGTCAGTCTCTACTGCCATTTGTAAATAAATGAAAAATCTGTCATTCCAATTTTGTCGGACCTCCCAAGATGGCCACTACCCGTTCCATGCAGCCGTGTGTGCTGTCTGCATATTTGTCATTTTCCAGGTTTTTGATCAGTGTATAGGTAAAAGAAAACTTAGGGGTTCAAGATGTGGGCATTTGTTCAGATACCCCAGGTTTAAATATTAAACAAATTGGTCCACATGAGATGGCTTGTAGCTATCACAATTTTAAAGCCCACTGTGAAAAAAAGTCAGTCTACCATTGAATTTTTCACACGCGTGTAGAATGCACAGGTGCTGCTTTTCAAGGAGACAAAAAAAAGTTGCACCACGCTTACACAGAAACTAGAGTCTCACCTCTTCACACGACAGACAAAAATTTTTGTTGCGGTTCGGGCAGAGTTTAATGTTACAGTCTCATGATGAGTGCCCTGAATAGACTACTCTCATTTTGTAGCCAAAAGTTGGGGAAACATCACCTAGGGGTTGATTTTGGATTTTACCTGCAGTTCGTTCAAAATGGACGTTTGTCCTGTTAATTTCAAAGAGGGTGGTATTTTCATGTAGCATTTGTATTATAATCTGGTGTTCTGATAGCTGCGTGGGATTTTTCACACTTCGTGAATTATTCATTTACTTTTGTACCAATGGCCAACCATAGTTTTAGCAGCCACTTGCGGGAAAATCACGAGCATGAGGTCAAGAGAGCAAACCCTATTATCCACAAATTGGGGCTATATGTTAGGATTTTAACAAGTACATATTTTGTGACATGCCTTTTTTCAGGATACTGCGACTTCGATTTTGACCTGTGCGGATTCACGCAGTCGTCGACCGACCAGCTGGACTGGATCCGAGACATGCCCATCAACGTACCCATCAACACCCAGGCACCGCCGGTCGATCATTCATCCGGAACCAACATCGGTACGTGAGGAGGGGGCAGAGATTACGGGGCAGGGAGTGATGAGGGGCGCAGATGTCACCTAAAGGGGGGAGACATGGGAACTTTGCTGGAAGGAAACTTTAGGGAGCTGTGAATATCTTCCAGAAAGAAGTGCCTCTTATTTTGCCACCTGAGAAACACTTTGTGTCAGGGCATTTCAGGGGATAGTGAAAATAAGGCTAAAGAAGGGGTGGATTTTAGTGAAGAATTTAGAAAAGGGACAACGATGATGACGATGAGAAACTCAAGAAAGTCTGTTTTAATGGAGTAATGTGGGCTATCTGTCCAAAGGGCTTAGGAACAAATTCTTCCCCCTTTCCACTCGTAGGCTACTACCTTTACATCGATGTGGACAAGGCAAGCAGTGCCACAGACAAGGCGGTCCTGGAGAGTCCATCCTACCCGGCCAACGCAACGGGCGACTGCGTCCAGTTCTGGTACTACCTGAGCGGGACCAAGGACGGTACCCTCCAGATCGTGCAAGAGAACGTAGGGAAGGTGTGGGCCCAGACGGGAGAGCAGGGGGCCTTCTGGAGACTGGGCTACGCCACTGTGATATCCGCCACCGCACAGATAAAGGTAGGCCAGGTGGTGGTCAGTACAGACTTTGGCCGCCGTCATGTCTGCAGGTAAAAGTAGTTCAGACAGTTGGTCAGTCAGGCTACTCCATAGTGATGTCTGCTGTGACACATACAGGCAATGATTGTCTTGTGATTTGGTCATTTCATCAATTGAGTTTTACCGCCAAGATATCCCCAATAAGCCATTTGCGAGTTAAATTTGAATAAAATCTGGTACACTGAGTTATCTGATTACACATAAACACAGCAATTTGAATTCCCCAGACTAAAGACACTGTTGCTATACCTCGTGATTCGGGCAAGCTTTTGCTTAGTTGCATAAGAGATGCCTTGCAACAATGCACTGTTCTCAATGGAAAAGAAGGGCACAAAGGAACCAGTCCATTCCAGAGATGGTGGTCGCTATGCAAAAGCTTGCCCCGAATCACAAGGTATAGCAATAGTGTCTTTAGTCTGGGGAATTCAAATCGTTCTGTTTATGTGCAGTCAGATAACTCAGTGTACCAGATTTTATTCAAATTTAACTCGCAAATGGCTTATTGCACAGATAGAGCTGTTGTACAGTCAGTTACTCAATCGAGCTGTCTCACTCATAAAACGATGGGTTGTTTTTATGTCACCTTTTTTTTTCCTTCATTCCTCAGGTTTCCATTGAGGCCATACCCGGAGTTTCAGGAGCTGGCATCATCGCTATCGATGACCTGGAAGTGATGAAAAAAGCCTGCCCACCACCAGGTAGAGTCCGTCAGTGGCTTTCCCTTAAAACCCTCTTTTGTTTCACAGAAGCCAGTCCTCGTCTATCAGAGTTTAGCATTATAGCCTTCATCCTGCAGTGCACTACAAGTGTCGTTCAGATTTTACGTTTATTGAGGTTGGTTCATAATTCAGGCAAATTTGAAAACGAAGCGAATTTGGCATCACAGAACATTGGCTGTCAAATTCTCTTGAGGTAGAATATGTTCGACTTACAAATTCATGGCATGATTATTTGATCTGATGTCGGGCAACACGACAAGTACAAATTGTTCAGTGTGTGTTCTTTGGTATTTTTGACGATGAAAGCGAAGTACACAACAGGCCATATTAGATGTTTTTAGCCATGTCTGTTGAGTTACAAATATCTGACGCTGCAAAATAGTCAATCTGTAATTCCAGAAATTAGGGGTCCATGTTTTTTTTCGTGTCCCTGTCACATCCGACATATAATTTTGTATGTTCAGAACACATTTACTAACTTCCAAGAGTGGTGAATTAATGCAAATTACCTGCCAAACAAATAGTAATAGTTTGAAATCAATTCTGGTGATATTTCCATGTCAAATAACAAAGGTCAGATGTAACAGGGACACAAAAATGTCACACTTTCGGACCCCTTATTTCTGGAATTACCCAAATGCTCCTCGTCCAATGTAAAGCCATGTTTGAAATGAACTTCAAGGGAGATATAGCTAAGTCTCTTGTCAGCCTGCACTCACACATTTGCAACTCGTATTTCATGAAGACCGTAAGGCACAGCCAAAGGCACACTCACCTTAGACTTAATGACTTAACAATGGATATTTCCATGCGCACCCATGCAATTTTGTGCTAAGCACAGCAACCGTGAAATGTTCGCCGTGAAATATGCCCAAGCCGACCGTTGAGCAAACATTAGTGCTGTAGTTAGGAAAAGAATTCTTTTAATGGTATAAAAGCAGAACCATGAAAATGGGCCCTGAACAAAGCTCTGGACACGAGATTCGATTGGGACCTAACTGTAGCTAAAAAGGTTAAATTCTTAACATTTTGGGAAGTTACCAGCATTGCTCAGCAGAATGGCACAAAAAAACTACCAGACTTGCAATGACAAAGGCTGTACAAGATAAGATCAACTACAGTGGACACAGTCCAGCGGTCTGGTGCAAAATTCAAACCTTGTACCATCGATCACCAGTGGCAAAGCCAACAGGGGTGGGGCTTTTCATGGACAAATTTACAAGAACAGAGAGAATAATAGAAATAGTAAAATAAACAGAAATCCCCCCCACTGTGCCAACTAACTCCCCTTGAAGTCTGCTCACTTTCCTATGGTAAGAGTCCTAGCAAATTAAGGCATTGGCAGCATCAGAATCAATAAAAATTAGTAATAATTTCAAAGAAGTCATTCAAAGGTGCCAATACATGTACTTCAATCATTATCCCTGCTCACTGGGCTTACAACGTCTGAACATTTCTGAGATCATCTCAACTCCGAAGGGAGTGTATGGGCCCAATACTGCTGTATGAGTCTCAAATGGCTATTACATTCACCGTAATAACCATATCTGCCCTCACAGGTACCCATTTGCTCCTGGGTGTGGAGAGGGGCACACCGGGGTGAAATGACTTGCCCAAGGTCACAAAATGTGACCAGTGACAGGATTCCAACCCCCCTGACCTTATGATCAGAAGCTACAAGCCCTGGACAATTAAATTGGCCAGTCAACGATTCTGAAAACTATTTTTGTCCCCAAATGATCCGTTGTTGGATTCCAGGAAGCTGCGACTTTGAGGACGGCCTGTGCAGCTGGATGAACGGAGACGGCGACAACTTTGATTGGTCCAGGACTAACGGGCAGACCCCAAGCTCAACGACCGGCCCGAAATTTGACCACACCACCATGACTCCAGCCGGTAGGGTTGCTCACTTTGGATTTCATCTCTTTTAAGTTGTACTTTTCTTCAGTTTTTCTACGTGGGCGTTTGTTTCATCATTCACTCTGCCATTAGCCTATTCATTTTTCAGTGGGTTTTTTTTGGTATGTTGGTCTGGGTTTTCTGGGGGGGCGTGAGACATCAAATGGTGATGGGATAAGCAGAAGAGATCAATATTTTTTTAGACTTATGACAGAGTTTTGTTGTGTGCAGGAGTTGATAAAGAAAAAATTGGATTCCTTTCATTTCGGGCAAATATGTTTTGGCTATACATTGCTGTTTGTAAAAAAACTCAACAAGCTTGCGACTCGGTGTCTCACAAAGAAAAAATAAAGTTGGAAAATGGAAATACTTTTTAATTCCACCTCGAGACAGAAGTAGAAAAGCCAAAGTCTTTGATTTTTTGGGAGGGGGTTAGAATTCACTATCAGTGCATGTATTTTTCAGTTTAATTTCAAATCGAACCACAGTCCCCTGGAAAGTGCTCTGATAGAGTGTCCAACCACTAGACTGCCAATCTTACCGGTTTAAATCTCAAGCGGCACTGGTCACTGACACAAATTACTCAAGTATGTTTCAACACTTGGCTTTGTCCTTCTCCAGTGTACGACCAGCGTCTAATGTAGATGCCGTTGGTTCATGTTTGTATTTCTTATGGGGGGCACTAGCTTTCAGTGGTGTGGTTTTTGGGGGACAACTTTATGTTAGTATTGTTCAGTACCCATTCCTCCGTTTTTTAGTGGCGGGGGGGGGGGGGGGGGG